GATTTTCTCCACTTATCAGTATTTCTTCAATAATGTCATTTTCATTACAACTCTCATTGCACATCATTGTAATGTGACACTATCACCAGAAGGTGTTGGAAATACACCAACAATGTGTTTGTTGTCACATTAAATTCCACCAATGGAGGGAGTTACAGTTTGTTCCACGACTGCATTTCACTCACTGCCTCTGTTTGTATCTCTGTCACTGCAGGACCAACGTGAGGCGGAAAAACAGTGCTCTCAGGAGGCCGACAAACCTCACAGAAGAAAGGGAGAGAAAACATACAGCTGTGATGAGTGTGGGAAGGATTTTACTCGGAATGACAGCCTAAAAATACACCAACTCATCCACAGTGGAGTTAAACCTTACAGCTGTGGTGAGTGTGGAAAATCTTTTACTCAGGCTGGAAGCTTAAAAAAACACCAACTCATCCACAGTGGACTTAAACCTTACAGTTGTGACTTGTGTGGAAAGTCTTTTAACCGGGCTGGAAGCTTAAAATTACACCAACTCATCCACAGTGGAGTTAAACCTTACAGCTGTGATGAGTGTGGGAAGGATTTTACCTGGTCTGAAAGCCTAAAAAGACACCAACTCATCCACCGTGGAGTTAAAGCGTACAGCTGTGACTTGTGTGGAAAGTCTTTCACCGAGGCTGGAGGCTTAAAAAAACACCAACTCATCCACAGTGGAGTTAAAGCGTACAGCTGTTACTTGTGTGGAAAGTCTTTTTCACGGGCTGGAGGCTTGAAGACGCACCAACTCATCCACAGTGGAGTTAAACCTTACAGCTGTGACTTGTGTGGAAAGTCTTTTACCCAGGCTGGAGGCTTACAAAGACACCGACTCATCCACAGTGGCGTTAAAGCATACAGCTGCGACTTGTGTGGAAAGACTTTTACCCAAGCTAAAGACTTAAAATCACATCATATCATCCACAGTGGAGTAAAACCGTACAGCTGTAACTTGTGTGGAAATTCTTTTAGACGGGCTGGAGGCTTAAAAAAACACCAACTCATTCACAGTGGAGTTAAAGAGTACATCTGTGGCTTGTGTGGTAAAGCTTTTGCTCAAAATGGCCACTTGCAGAAGCATCTAGTTACCCACTCTGGAATTAAGGCGTACAGCTGCGACTTTTGTGGAAAAACTTTCAACGACAAACACAACCGAAATAGTCACCTACGGATTCACACTGGAAATGATGTTTACTGCTGTGATCAGTGTGGGAAACTGTTTGCAACAGACGCACAGTTAAAACAACACATGTTTATCCACACTGAGGAGAGACCTTATAAATGTGACCTGTGTGAGAAGACTTTTAAATCTCCACATCACCTGA